TAAATATTATCTTCACGGTTATTTAAAGTCATCCCCCGTTTATTGTACGTGCATGTTATGTACATCGATGTCGCTATGGAGAAAAACGTTTGTTTTCAAATGTTTTAAGACACAATACTGTATCGTCCTCAGAATGCATTAAGCTCGCATTATACTTCTTTATTTTACTAATCGATCGAAAAAAGAAAAAAAACATCGTTGCCGATTTTTCGATTGTTATACAGTTCGATGGTGCCAAGTATTGCAAATATCGTGAAACAAAGTATATGTATGTACAGTAAAGACTCGATAAGAGTTTGAAATTCGGGTCCGCTATCGAATAGTTACGGGATACATAGGTACTAGATTCTTCAAACCATATTTGTATTTTACCGACTCCGACGGACGCAAAAAGAGACAGTGGATAAAGAAGAGAGAGATATTGAAAGTTGAGACAGTCGTAAAAAATTAAATGCCTACATACGGGTGAGACAACACTAATACACAGGAGAAACTTTTTTATCTCTTGTGTTTTGTTGATAAAATTTTTACTAACATCCGCGATATTTTTCTGATTAAAATGAGACCAAATACGGTATAATTCGGTTTACGTTTAATTACTTAATCAGAAATTCCACACATGCATATGTACATACGGAATAAGTGATACTATTTTTTTGTAAACAATATAACGATGTATGCGAATTGTTTGTGTTTGCATTATTTTTTAAGAAATGAAGATGACCTTCAATTTTTCAAATCTATTTAAATTCTATTTTTAACATATTAGTAAATTACAATTGTTCGCAAGCTGTTTGCGAACTGCTTGTAAAGAGTCCTGACTAGTGTAAACCTTAGTATAACAACTCCTATGTGTATTCTTATGTGTCCTTTAAATTCGTCAGAGGTCGAAAATCGTTTCTTGCTCTCCGTTAATTGATCAAAGGCAATGCCGCTTACGAACAGTTAACGTGTAGCAGACTGTCCCATTCGAGAATAACCGGATTGATTGAATTCTAGTAGTGGATAATTGTTCGTATTCGGTACAGCTGTGAAACTCTTAACGGAGTGGTCCTCCATTCTTTAGATGCGAACATTTTGCCGACAGCGAAATGAACGTAGAGAACGGTAGCCGGGCAAAGGAAGACAAGCCCAATTGATACAACCAAGTTTTGTAACAATATCGTGTTTGGTATCATTTTAATCAGGAAAATCTCACCAATATTTCGATGAAATTTTTATTAACGAAAAATTGAAAATAACAAACTTCTGTATTTCTGTTAGTGTTCTCACATCGATATATGCCGCCACCGAATGCGATAAGGAGATGCCGGGGCCGTGTCACATTAATCGCTTGCCTGATTCAATGGTGGTCCCCCCCTCGTGGTGGGGATGGACCATGAACAGTTAACGTGTAGATCCCAACGGACTCTTATAAAGTCTTTACTGTATCGAGATATCGCAACGTCATCATCCGTACTGATAATATATTGTGCCTTGTTTTCAGAAACCGTATCGAAATCGATAAATGAAGTGCAAAATGGCGGAATCTATTTGGATATATATATATACACAAATGAAGAATCGAATATATTTTTTTTTAATGTTATGCAACGATGTCAATTTGTAAATGTATGTAAATTATTGTATAAGAATGTCGCGAATAACACCGCGGTCTTATAGTGCCTTAAGAATTGTTTAATTAACGATCGAGAAGCGATCAGTACGAGGCTATCGGAAGGGGACAGCGTGTGCAGACAATAATTGTAGAAATTTACGATTAAGTGTAAAATATTGTTGAGCAGACTAAAAATGTATTTTTTGAAAATTTTCAATTTACACAATCAATTGAAATTGTTGATTTGTTCGTACGACAATCTAGAGAAACGTGGTAAATAATATTGTACATTGGATGTGTTAAAAGACGGACAAAATATTATATTCTGTACTGTGCCAAAACGATTGTCAATTAAATCGTAATTAATCGTTAATCTGCTAGAATCGATCGTTAATTCGACTAGATTGTTGCATTACATGTACGATTGAATATATATGTGTATTATTATTCGACGTATAACAAGCCAGAGAGAAAAAGAGAGAGAGAGAGGATGAGAGAATGCAAAGAATATGAGGGAATGAAAGAGAAGCGTGTAACTAATTGTTGACATTGCTAATTAATGCAATAAAACGCATATAACTGAATATAAGCAAATAATTATATTAGAAGTAATTGTATGCCGATTTCAGTATTTCCATTAATAAACAAATACACTTGATCGAGCCTCGTTTGTGTGCCTGATGTATTGATTGAAACACGTGACGCATAACCAATTTCATGCATTTCTTGAATGTGGTGTTAATGGGCGCCTAGTATACCGCAACCCGTACGACATCGACGGAGATTATGGGAATTGCCCAGCTACGTATAATGTAGCAAGTAAAATTAGCAATAAACGAATATCTTTGCTTGAATTTATTGCATTTGTTACATAATTTTTAATGTATTAAGTTAATTTTAATATTACCAAGAAGAAGAAATGGTGTGAGGTGATTAAATAATTGTTCGAGATGTTAGAAAATTTTACAATAGTTTATTGATAAAAGAGTAGCTGCAATAAGTAATTATTAAATAAAACATTCCTCGCTCATTTTTTTTACAGTTTTGACGTTGAAGCTTGCTTTAAACCCTCGTCTAAAGCACGTAACACCAAATCGACTTTTTTAGGTGTAGCGTTAATTCCTAACAATCCAATTCGAAGTACTTTTCCCACAGTTGGTCCCAAACCTCTACTGATTTCAACTTTGTACCTAAACAAATCGCAACAAGAATATTCACCGCGTTCGAAACAAATTTACCGTCTTATTATACACACGACTTACTTCTCCATGGCTCGTTGCACAACGATCCTGTCATCGACGCCAGGTGGCACCACTATAGAGATCACAGTCGATAATTGATACTGTGGAATTTTCACGTAACATTGAATGCCCCGTAATTCAAGACCCTTTCTTAATCTGACAGCTGCACCAGCATGTCTGATCCACAATGCTTGAAGTCCCTCTTCCGCAACTTCGGCCAATGCTTCGCGAAGTCCGAAAAGAAGTGTAGAACTCATTGTGTGATGATATACACGTTCCACGTTTCCGAAACATTTCCAGTAAACACCGAGAACAGTCAGATCCCAATAGAACGAGATCGGTTTGCTCTTCCTTCGGAATAGTTTTTGCCTGTCGTAGCGAAGAAAGTGTGTAGTATGAGTCACAAGGAAATTACCGGAAACATTTGCCGCCTCGTAATGATTATGTGTGGAAAATTAATGACGAGGAATTAAGAGAAAACGACCAGAAATTATCGATAATAATAGAAAATTGATACTAACGCAGGCCGAGTGTGTACATCGAGGTTACGTTAATAACCGAAATGAACATAACCTTACTGGGCAGCGTGATGAAGGCAAAAAGGTAAAGAAACGATAAATCGATGTAGGTGAGCGAAAGTAGGCCTCTTATTTAAATGATCTCCCGTGACGAACAATAACTACACGTTAGATCATTCGAAAACCGTCAGAATGTCGCGTCGAATAAGAATTGATTAAAACCGTTCCCAGTTATGAATCACGAAGCAGCAACGAACGAGCCGCGCGTCACAGTGATGACCTCATGGATTCGATTTATATTCTGAGAGGAGGATCGCTTTAGAGAGTCTTGCTTCTCAGACCGTTTTCTCACTGGCTCTCTGTGCGCTCGGTTGCGGTGAAAAAGAAAACTGCGATACGATTACATACTCAGCCAGTGGACTAAACGAAATAGGAGCGAGTCCTGGAGGGGCGCCGAGACCTTTCTGGCTGCCTGCGTAAGCTGCATCTACGCCCCAAGAATCCATAAAGAACGGCTCGCCGCACAGTGACGCAACTACGTCGACGATAAGAAGAGCATTGTATCTGGAAGAATTGTTTTTTTTTTCTTTTTCTTTAATCAATTTAGATAAATTTTTTAGTGATGAGAAAAAGGCCTTCGATGTTGATATTAGTAGGTAAGAGAAGAGGTTTTAAATGATATTTATATGTGAAAATATACTAGAAGAATGTAATTAAGAAAAAGGATCTACACCTGTGAACAAGTTCTCCGAAACCTTCCAGTGGTTGTTTCAAGCCTGTGGAAGATTCAGCCTGAACCATAAAAACCGCCATTGGTCTGTAGAGGTCTAAGGCTATTTTCATTTCTTCCAATGTGACAGCCTTATTATGTTCCGTTTTCATTATTTTCACCTACATTTTCAAATTCATACGTCGTTGATATTTAAAGAAAAATGGACTAGTCTAAACTGTAAATGACGATTTTTGATAAGTATGTCACATACATACATTTGCCCCAATTCGTGTCGCCATATCAACCGCACGTTCACCCCAAATCCCACACTTCACGATCAGTATAGTATCATCTGGTTCAAGTAAATTTACTAAACACGCCTCCATACCGCCATGACCTGACCCACTTAACACCAAAGTCAGACTGTTTTTTGTTTGAAAAACGTACTGAAGACCAGCCTTAATTTCGTCCATTACCTGTTAATAATATGCAAATAATACCATAATGCTTAAAATACACGTTTGATGTATATCTTAACGATGGTTAAAAGAAATTGTAACAATAACGCTAATTATATAATCTACACATTAATTATACCCTCTTTAATTGTTTAACCAGTAGCACTCGCCTGAACGATAACGTGTAATTAGATGTTCACGACACCGATTATATCACGATGCGATAATAATGAAACCTGATATCTGAATGTATTAGAGATTCGTCTTTCAATTTATTCTAAAAAACATTTTTCTCAATTTATCGCTCTTCATTTCGAGTGCAAATTACAATAATTATGATAATACATGTCTGTACATGTCGATAATAAGCGTTTTCTATTTTAAGTAAATATTGTGAACCGGCGTTATCGGTTCTTGACAAGCGGTTTACCTTCTCAACGATAACAACTGGCCTATTGTTACTTTCCAACGTAATTTCCGTAGACAGTAGCGAAGTGAAAGGAATACCTGACAAAATTCCGAATGAAGATGACCAATAACTTGATGCTGAAGGGATTGAAGAACTCGCTTCGAGCAATTAGTCGGCCCGGGTCCCATTAAAGTTTTTACCGGTAGCTGCAGCTTAGTTCGAAGTACCTCTGGCGGTTCTTTCTGAACGGCCAACTGGTTCCACTCGCAGTACATCTCGATTTCCTCTTTCGATTTTCTCTGTACAATCGATTCTACGAATTAAACTAATATCGTTTGAATAAGCTACTTTCTCTCTAAAATATCAATTTTTTATCAAAAATTTTCAATGTTAAGAAGTAGCAGAAAAAAACAAATTTTCCATTTTATTCGCATATAATTTTTCATATGTTCGAATTTTACGACAATTGAAATTTGTTAAATTTTTGAATATAATCTAGAAAATTTTTCAATTACAGCATAGCGCTAATATCGATTGGAAACTATTACGCGCACCTTGCCACTTATGATTTACGCAGTCGCTATCGCGCAGCGTTCGCGCCGAAAGCACTTACCAGCACTCTCGATTTTCAATTGTCAATTGGACCAACTGTTCACGCTACCAGAGCACGCAGCATACTGAGATTTCCTCTACGGTTTAGGTATTTCGACTTAGTCTGTTTACAGTATACTTGTGAAATCATAAAATGATTTGAAGAATTTTAAGTTATGTAAGAAATTAACGATGAATAACGAATTTATTCGACATGATATCAGTGTTGATAATGATATTCGCAATTTTTTACTGCTTTTTAATTAATCATGTTGGATGTAGTTTAGTTTTCGTTGTTCCATTTGTTGCAACGCTGCAAATACCACGCAGCAATATGTGGAATTATCAATTTGCAAGTAACGTTTTGACGTGAGAGGGTAGATAGTAAACAACACATTTCAACGGTTATCATTTTATTCAGCAAAAACCTGGGGCACAAAGAAATCTCCCCATTGAACGGATGAGAATAGCTTGATACGCTACTGCGCCCTGATAACCTTCGGAATCAGAACGTAACTTATGTACATACGTAAATAAGAAAATTGTAAATAGATACCATGCATAGAAAACATTTGACAATTTCATATTTTTACAAATAACCTCAACTAGAAATTTAGTATTATTAAATCTTGTAATGGAACATGTAAGGAGTTATATTTTTTATTTGTATTAGAAGTTATGGAATATCTATGTTATCTTATAAAATAGCATTATTGTATAGGTTACAGTTAAAGATGAGGAATAGAAGAATTTAATAAATACTTGGCAACACTTCTATTGTTAACTGCGATTTTAGAATATCGAGTAAGTTTACAGAAATGTATGATAACGTTCTAATTATGAGAAGAAAGTATAATCAAAGATAAGATGTTGATTACAGTTAAAGATGAGGAATAGAAGAATTTAATAAATACTTGGCAACACTTCTATTGTTAACTGCGATTTTAGAATATAGAGTATGTTTACAGAAATGTATGATAACGTTCTAATTATGAGAAGAAAGTATAATCAAAGATAAGATGTTTTATTTTCAACAGATAATAGAACAAGTGGGTCTCATTCACACTTCACGCGACTTCTCCTGTAATCTCCCCTATTTAAGTATTTCAATTTTAAAATACAAGAGGTTATTTGAATTTTCGCTAAGAAACGTTGACAAGAAACTGACTACGTGCTGCACAGCGGCCAGGAGACTGTTTCAGTATCGTGTAACGAAGAAACAAGGAGTGGGGGAAGTCCCGTAAACACCGTAGAGCAAACTCGGTGGACATCACTGACTGACTCAGAATATCGGGTGGTAAAACGCGCTAATGGAAAAAAATGAATGCGTGCCTAAATGCTTTTTGTTCACGCAGTGGGTCTGCTATTAGCTTTCTAAATGCGAGTCGTTATCAGATCCGTTTTAGGTTACGTTTATCATAGCTGCTGTCGTACTCGTCTGTCAGCCGTGTTCATCAAGGACTCTTCCCCGTGTGTATGTGCTTTCAGGCACGTGTCTCTCTAAAAACCATAAGCCACATGAATTGTGTTTGAAATAAATTCTCCAATACTTACGGAAAATTTCAAACGTTCGAAAACGTACCATATTTAAATTTATCCTTTTGATGCACGTGTCATTTAAAACACATTTGTCACCTCATTGCAATTAACCTATGTTGTAATATCTTACGAACGAGTAATGAAAGTTTTTGCGTAATATTACTAATTTCAAATTTCATTAAAAACGTAATTTTCTTATTTGCTGGTCAGCGTGTAGTTCATTAGCAGTTAAGCTTATCTACAAGCATATTATAGAAGGTTTCACAGCTGACTGGAGACATAAATCATTCTATGCGTACTCATAGGTAAAAAGCGCTATGTAGTTCATGGTTCTGGCAAAAACAAATTCCTTGATGCGTATTCAACGTATCTAGAAGCTCATAACGGAGCGCTGACACGACATTCCTTTCGCTAGAATACAAAGAAAATACATGGACAGGCGTTGGTATTAACGTCAAGAGAAGAATTTCAAACGCCCTTTTCATTTTGCATCATTCTTTCATCTTACCAATGAGAAAACACACATATTTGAAATTACGTAAGTTAAAACAAGAATTGATTTGTCAGTGTGAAAAACCTAACCTATGTATCTGATATAGTTAACGATCTTCATAATCCTTAAGAAAAACGAAGAAATCTAAAATATCCTGTTATTTAAAACATCTACCATAAAATCACATTAACAGCGAGTTTTATATTTCAGTACGTTTCTTCTATTTCAGCAAACGAACGATTAAAAACTCGAGATTTTCTGTCGACTAAGCAAACCAACGAAAATGCAGATCCACCGAGGGTCAAGTTCGGTTGCTCGACATCGTCTTCCCCTTCCACAGTCTTCCACCTAGCTCCCAGCTCTTCCCCCTCCCTACCCACCCACTTAGGTTCCCTCTTTCATTCCGTCTCTCTCACACTTCATCGAGTACCCTGCTATCTTATCTCTCTCTCTTCGCTTTCTATCTGTCTCCCTTGGTCAGGTCCCCGTGTTAAACTACCAACAGTAAATACCCTTCCATAGATGTGAAATTGGCCGAAATGACTGCAAGGTCGAGGAGAAAAGACTAAGTGGCAAGAAGGGAGTACAATAAATTTCCACCAGTACTTCAAAGCCCTGATAGGTTTTTCGTTAGCGGGCGAGCATGTGCGCGCGCGTATATGCGATCATAAGTTAGTCTGTGTTCGTGATGGGTTCAGGTCCGGTGGTAACCGGACTACAACAGTCATACACGAACGAGAGATCGTGCGTGACTGGTCGGTCGGTTTATAGCGGAGAGTGTGCGATAGTGTCGGCGTGTGCGTGTTCCCTAACCTGCTTGTACGTGTCGTAAACGCGGCGTTGTATTGGTCGGGCGTGCACGTGCGCTACCGCGGTCGCGTCTGTCTGCCTGTGTGCCACGCTCCCGAGCCAGGAGACAACGAAACAATGGAACGTCGTCGTCGTCTTGGATCTGAGTAGCGAGGCAAGCGGGTGGATCGTACTTGCTTCGGTTGCTCGTTCGTCTTTAACGTCCGCGAAACCGTGCATGAACAGGCACCGGGGATTTCTGAAGACGGTTTTCAGGCTCCCGGCTTCGAGAACCGCTTGCTCGTGACTGCCCCCTGGCGTACTTGTTTCTCAGTAGAGGCCGGGCCGCGACCAAGGAGGAACGCTTTGTGTGTTGAGCTGGAAAGAGAGATTCGAGAAACGAAGAGCCGTGCGTAGCACTGTACATGTACGTTCCTTGACGCAAGTGTTCGTGCCATTGGGTATGTTCTGCCAAGATTTTCTGGTAAAAAAAACACATTCATCACCTATACATATCGCAGTGATCTCTTCTCGAAGGTGTTTTCAAAACGCGCGTGAGAATCATCGATCGATACTGGATCATGAGTAGCTAAGGAAACGCATGAAATTTTAGCGACAGTGTGTATGTACTGTTAGTGTTTACCGACCGGGACGACGATTTTCGTGTGAAATCGGTATCGTTCGCCGATCTTCGTCCCTCGAAGACGAATTGTAATACGCACCTCGCGGGATGGTCCCGTAATCGTCGACTGGTTGTCACACCGGTGGTCGATGTTCCCGGTGTGGATCGAGAAGCCGTCTACGGTACGGCAGAGAGATTATCGATCTGCGTGAATTAAGTGAATCGAGTGTACCGAAGTGTTCGTGGTTTTAAGAAATCTGTGGCGGCCGAGGCGCTTCTCTCGTCGGCTGGTGTCATCGCCTCTTACTCTCTCTCGCTCCTTTCATCTTGCATTCCCTTCGACCATCCTGTCCCTATCTTCGCTTTGCGATCCTCTCTCTCTCTCTCTCTCTCTCTCTCTCTCTGTGCTCGTCTCTCCCTCTTTTTCTCTCAATCTGGCTCTCTTTGTTGCTCCTTTTTCTCTGCTCCATTCCTCGGTCGACCGGTCTCTCAAGGGGGCGTGCTTGGCCACATTCAACAATGAGCGAACGCAAAACTATCTAAGCACGAGGCGCGAACGAATGGTTCCTTGTGTTTTCTGCCTGTGTGTGGCCTGATCTTTGCCCCGCGAGTGTGTTTACGCTGTGAAACGGTCGGTTGACCCTTTTTTTTCGGATTTCGAATGGATTCACAACTGGCGTCGAGTTAACGAGACGTGGATCGCCTTTAAGGTGTACACACCACTCTCTGCGAGGTAAGTGTACCAACGTTATTACCCATGCGTTACTTTATTTCGTGTGTATAACCCTCCGTGGGCTTTTCTGTGTTTGTTGAGTCGATATCGCCATCTATTAACCGACATGACCATTTCAATTAACTTTTTAAACGACCAGCCCAACGAACCGACCGAAAAGGATCCTTTAACTCGACCGAAAAGGACCCTTTAACTCGACATGCAAAAACGGTTAATTTTCAACAACTTTTATTAGCGTTAAACCGCAAAATTGCTTGTTCAATACGAAATTCCTTTTGAACGAATTTCTCAATCACGATCGAATGTGTGCGTGTGCTGACTTTGTACATCGCGGTGTGCTGCCGGCTTCGATTCATAATCGTTGAGCCAATAGGTATCGCGTTCCCATTTCAAAATACCATTACTTCATGTTATAGATCGTGAGAAACGTTACTGGCCACGAACATAGTTATCGTTCTTGGAGAAATCGATACACGTCCGCAGAGGCTACGAATCTTGAGTGTTAGTTTTTTCCCCTATCTCCTTGAAATAATCCCGGGAAATAATTGACCGTAGAGAAGCGAATAATTGATCCCGGACACGTGTCCAATAGTCAGACCCACCAAATTGGACACGCTTTGACTCGGTAAAGCCCTCCTTTCAGCTTAATTCGGGATTAAACGGAATAGAACACGGCGTGACGCGTAAGAACCTCTCATAGAGGTAGAGGGACTTTAGAAACGTGTTTTTCGTATGCTTAGAAGTGGCTTGTCGTTACTCGCAGTTGCAAAGTATTTTCGGTATAGTAAAAGCGGAGGGAATCAACATCATTGGTGGGCCCTTCCTACATGTCGCTTCGGCAGTTGTTGGACCGTATCCAAAAATACCGACGGTCACCTAAAATATGTGTGTATGTATTCATGGCCGAGACACATAGGACAT